TCGATCTCGATTTCGATTTCGATCTCGAGATCTTAGCATCCCGCCGAGTAGGTTGGCGACCACCGCAGGCTTCTTTCTTATTTCACGGAGGCGCCAATCGAGCGCGCGTTTCTCCACAGCCTCTGTTGTGCGTCCGTATGCATTTCTATAAAGTATACAAGAGTAATGTTGTCTTTCTCGTGCTGTCCGAGTTTTGCGCAATGCGTGTTTTGTGTGTCACTACCAATCGGCCAAGTCGAAGTACGACCTCGAAAAGCGTCGGGTTGGTCCACATTCTGGCATTCAATCCCGATGTACCACCCGGCGCACGCACTTCTCCATTTTTTTCGTGACTGTCTTTAACCACCGGAAACCGACTCAGCCTGATTTCCGTTTTCAACTCTTTTATTCTTCCTCGAACGTCCTCTTGTTTCCCTTCGAATCTACCTTTTCGTTTATAGTCGCGGTCGCTTTGCGTGTATTTCCTCACAATCTTGGGAAGCAGCAAAACGTCCGATCTTGTCCTTGCATGCGCACGGTAAATAGTTCTCTTTCTACGTACATACGTGTTCGCTCGTGCGACTACGTTGCCGCGAGATCCACCTGAATGTTCGATGAAGAAAGAAAGAAGGATTAGAGAGTGCGAAAGTGAGAGAGAAAGAGATAAAGAAAAGGAGAGGGAGAGAGTGAGGGAAAGAGAGAAAAGAACGGGGGGAAAGTGAAAAAAAAAAAAAAAAAAAAAAACGCTCGCCGTCTGCATGCCGCATCCCATCGTCCAAAACAAACGAGTCAATATGTGAATCCCGTGAATTCGGAATAGAAAGAAGAACACGCGGGAAGTCGGCGCAATCAAATGATCGATAAAATACACTCGGCTTTGTAGATCCTCGATGCATCTCGTAAGTTTACTATCGCGGATTCTTGCGTATTGATACAAAAGAAAGTAAACGAAACCAACGGAATAGAAATACAATAATAACGTATATCACATTGAAAGTAAAACAACACCGAATGATTACACGACGTGGATCGAAGCTCGCGGAACGTCCGGCATGCATTCAACGTTTTTCGCAAGCATGGCCAGTCTGTATTAGCATGAGCATGTTCGTACATTCATCGTTCGTTCGATCGTTCGTTCGTTCCAATGTACGTATGATATACCACACCCGCATCCATACATAGCGAGTCCACCAGTAG